TGATCAGGTATGCTTTGCCTCAAACCTGCACTAGTTTAGAGTAATTATATAATGCTTACTGTACAGATGTAGTGTTTCTGTAAGATGACTGGCTGCTTGCCCAGTGGTGTGTGTTCAACCTATAGTGAACTGTCACTCATGGACTTCATGAGTAAAGCACAAGGGGATTTCTGCCCAACTGATTACATAAATTGAGGTTGGTCTACTTTTCAGAATATGGAATCGCAGACACCCATTGCACAGTCTCTGGTGTGACATTCCTCTGGACTCCCTACTGCATCCCCCCCTTCTTCTAATGGAGCATGGGAGTCCTTACCACTCCCAATACACAGTCGCTGGGGTGGTGGACCATGGAGGCTTCCTCCTGAATGAGTTTTGATATTTACTTTACAATACTCATGATTATCCACTCAGTGAGAAAAAGGTAATGCTGGTTAAACTGCTTCTCGACAAAGTAACTTATTGAATTGATCATGCATTTCCCCCTGGATGTTTTTGCCTGGGTGAATAGCACTTGACAAAATATCTTAGTCAATTATAAAAGGTATTTTCACTGGATGTTTTGGCCTGGGTGGACCGCTCTTGACAAAATCAGTTAATCAGTTCTACTAGGCACTTTTCCTGGATGTTTTTGCCCAGGCAGACTGCACCCGACAAAATAACATAATGAATTAAGGTACGTTTCCTCTGGATGTTTTTGCTCAGGTGGACCGCACTAGACAAAATACCTTAATATATTTTAAGGTGTTCCCCTGGATGTTTTGCCAAGGTGGACCTCACTTGACAGAATAACTTCATCAATTGACAAAAACAAATATCCTTTCTGGAGTTCCCCTGGACGTTTTTACCCAAATGGGCCACTCTAGACAATTTCTTTAATCATGCGGTCCTCATGCTCTAGCCACATGTGTTATTCCATGTTTTACACTTGTATAACATCAGACACAATCCTGTGACAAATGGAACACCCAGCACTACCATAACTTGTCCAGTGCTGTAAGTATTTTTCCCACATTCAATTGTGCCTGTTTGTCCATTCTGCCTAGATTGTGTTACTTTCCTGTTTCTGGGGCAAAGAGCATATGTGTTTCAGAAGTAGTGTGGTACCCCACTTGTGTATTTCATTTTCACCTCATAGCACACCTGTTCATTCTAAGTAGTCGCTTTCTGCTTGTTTGATATTAGTATGACTAAACCAACCCCTCCACCTTTGCAGTGGGGGATTCTAGGTCCTTCTCTCCCCTCACATACTTCCCACCCTTTCTTCCCACTGCCAGTGTTTTTATATTAATACCTGCCAATTCTCAAAAGTGAGGATTGAGGGGGAATAGCAGAGGGTGCTATCTGTGCTGGATTCAACATTTATTTCAAGAAAGGTGTGATGAGCAAAATTCAATAGCCAGAATATGTACATGTTCAGAAATGGCACAAAACTGATGGGTATAAAGACTGGTGCACTGACAAAATTTTTTTTAGCAATGCTCAAGGATTGAGATAGTTTGTTTGAGAGGAGGAAAGTACGTACCTCAAATACATTTTCAGTTTAAGAAAATGTTAACTTATGAACCATGCACAGGAAAAATGCATAAGATCAAAGTACAATTAAGTGCTAGAATTAAACAAGAAGCTTGACCCTTAACTGCTTTTTGGAAGAAGCCAGAGGTGAGATGGAGGTTGAAAAAGATCAGTTGGTTGTACCACCACCAGCACAGTTGCCATAGCAATCAGAATAAGGGGTTATACTCATTTCAGATTTTATTTTAAAAGACAAGGTTTTAACAGCAGAAATTTTATGGGCAATAAAACTATTCTTTACTCCTATAGTTCAAAGACTGATTAACTGCTTAGAGAAAATATTTTATGAAAGCAATATAGCACAGAGACTTCCTTGTGGTGCAACAAAATGCTTTTGTCTGATCTGTTTAGGATTCAGCATTTATTTCAAGAAAAGTTTAATAATCAAAATTCAACAACCAGTGACAATTTTTGTTGTATAATTTGATTAGTCACTAAATAAAGTTTTACAGGAAGAGCAAATGAACTTGTTGCTGCACTTCTAGGACAGACAAAAGAACAAAGCTGTAAACAGATATTTTGACTCGGTATTTCTTGGACACACAAAATCTGAAAATTTGCTTGGAAAGTATAATATAGGACTTTGAAAACTAAAAGTTGACAACCTTTTGCAAGTTTCAAGGAATGAGCCATGTACTAACAGGAAATTATTTGATGCTTATCAAGAAGGACATTCCAGTGCTTCCTGACATTCCAGTGTTTATCCAATGTGGAGTTCTGTAAATTGCATGTCATACATGGAGACTTCAAGTAGGATTGGGTGAAAGCTAGACAGTGTAATGATGTCCCTCTGCTGTGATTCTATGATTATCCTGCTAGAAGAGAAGCTGTTAGTGAGGAGAATGCACAATTTACTTTGAAGTTTTGTAGCACAAGGTGGCTAGGGGATGTATCTGTATTTGAAAGGACCATTCAAATCTGCCAAATGTCAAGTATTTTATGCAAAACCCAGAAATTGCCTAAGAATAGGCAGCCAACTGTAAGTATTAAAGTTTGAGAAAGAGTACATTGATTTTCTACAAAGGTTGGCTGAGAAACTGTTGGAGAGATGTCTTCTGAAATAATTTGGACCTAAGGTTTATTGTTAAAAATCCACAGAAAGCAAGTGCAAAATTGGAAATGATCTTGCAGAAGCTTTTTTAATACAGATGGTTATCAGCAGGCAAGTGTGAAGATGTACTCCAGGAGTTTAAACTAATGCTAAGAGAAGTGTAAGACTTTTGTTCAGAAGAGTTCAAAACTACAACCATAGAAAGGACAGGCTTGATGATTTTAATTATGACATTATGGGGCCAAAAGAGTCCTTCAAGAAACTCTTGAATGACACCAAAATGCTGTTGATCTTGTATCATTGTCAGTCATCAATAGAATGACACTTTGGCTGACAGTATGAGTAAGGAAATGCCTTTGTTCATATAGAAAGATATATGATGGGTTGGAAGAAACAGGATGTGAGTTGACTGATATACCTATCACAAAGAAGATGTTTAGATGCAAGGATGAGTTATTGGCTATATCTCGATGACGAATAGAAGAAGAGAGTTGCTAGTGAAAGTGATTTGAGAAAGAAAGGCCTTTTTGGAAAACTCTTGGGTTTGTACACTATGTTTGGTAATACAAATATATGAAGATAATAAGTTAGCTAATATGTATCAGTGAGTAACTTGTGCTTTAACCAGAATATTTTGACAGTACTTGATTCTGGAAAAACCACTTTTTATTTCAAATGTTTTCTTTCTTCTTTGTATTCAGGCTGATACTCATCTTGACACTTTAGCATTACCCACTGTTGTACAGCATAATATGATTGTAATAAATTGTCTCTTTGCCATTTTCAAACTTATTTCACTGTGACATTTACTGTTGATACTAAACTCAAATTTTAATCTGTCAAGGAAAGACTACAATAAACCAACAGAAAGTTTGGAAAATTTATGAAGTTCTCCAGAAATGTTTTATTGATTAATATGACATCAGAAAACAGTCAAATTCAAAATATGTTTTTTGTAGTACATAATATCAAACACAAAGTTGAATATAATACTACATCCAGCAATTGGTATTTTTTAAATAGTAAAATTGAAACTATGTTGTATTTACAAAATAATGTAAAGGTGGTTTGGGTAAGCTGTAAGGAGAGGTATGTTGAGGCCAACTTCAATTTTTATTCCTTGTCATTCGAACATGTGCGTAAGTGTACTTTTTAACATTTATTCAGCTTAAACTATGTTTTAATCTCAAATATTGATCTAGATGAAAAATAATATCTTAATTTTTGTCAGTATGATTTGAATTTATTGGTCAGGGAATTTTGTATAAATTTCTCTGTGAAAACCCTGAAAATGTTGAAGTATTCAGATACAGTAGCTAAAGCCATGTGAACATTGCAAGCAGTCAGTCATAGCCTCAGCAGAAACACAAACAGATTGCTGTTCAATAATGGCAGGTCAGTCTTCAAAAGAACAGTAAAGACTAGCCAGTCATCCTTCTTCAGTTTCGAACATAGCACATGAGTTGGATAAAACTGGTTCCTGAGAGAGAGGCTGATACTATTAAGTAGAAAAGGCTCGGTATACTTGAATAGTAGAGGGATTTGAATTGAGGAATGAAGCAACTGATGCAGGGATAGAAATAATGAAATAAAATTACATTCACTTGAGGGAAAGCTATCGGGAAGACTACATTGAATTGTGCAGGACACTGAGATTTAGTGGTACTAAACCAGAAATGTTCCAGTGACAAAAGCAGTACTTAAATGTGTTCAGCAGGCTTGTGTCCAGTTTAAAATGTCAATAGAGGTATGCCATGCTACACAAATAACAATTGTTTTAAGTCACTCCCTGTGCATGTGAGGTAGGTAGGAGGAAGGCATCTCTTTACAGAAGGATGAGGTAAAATCTTTAGTTGAGAATATATATGTGTATTAATAAAATCCAATGAAAAACTACTTGAAGCAACACAAAAGAAAACAATTTCAAGTTAAATATTAGATATGGCATAAGTGATGCTTGATAGTCTCAAAATTAGCCAAGATGAATTGTTGAAGGAGCAAGAAACTGTACTTTGCATATGTGTGATTTTTCAGTCATGTGGTATTTGTGTACTTAGAACATAAAGTTCTGGAAAAGGAGTAAGCAAGCCCTACATCTCAGATCTTATCCTGCTTGAAAATTATACTTGTAGTGGCATTAATCTACTTGCACCTAAAATTCTGTATTTTAAATTAAATTTAACCATGCATCAAATAGAAGCTGCAGGTACTGATTATTAATGGGTTAGAAAATAAATATGATAAGTTGTATGTAAATGAACAAAATAATTCTTATGTAAGTTGAGCCACTTTAAAAAAAAAACTTATATTTTCTTTGTTAAACTTACTAAATTTTTACTCCTTTATAACATGGCTTTCTATTTTATGAAAATAGGTATGATAATCAGCTTGACAGAATTATGAAGTATCAGCAAGTGCTGTTAGAAGATCTTGAAAATATTGAGTTTGGTAAGTTTCTTGAAAGAGGGTTTTACAAGTTGACAGATTCATGTATAGAAACAAAAAGAGGTGGAAAACACTGAGCCTACAGTACTTTTGTAAGCAGTATATTGAATGTAATGGAAGGACATAAGAACTGCAGTGTTGTTGTAAATAGTAGACTAGATGTTATGGAAGGATTTCAGGTCTGCACTCCTGTTGTAAATGCTACTTTAGATGTTGTGGAAGGATACTGTAAATAGTACTTTAGATCTAACAAAAAGTAACTGTCTCTGCACTGTTAATCTAAGTAGAAATTTGAATATCAGGAAAGGTTGCTGGACATGTATTACTGCTTTAGGTAGTAGTTTAGGCATAATAAAAAGATCTTTGATATGCAGTACTGTTGTAAGTATGGTAGCTTAGATGTTATGGAAACAGAGCCAGTCTAAGTAGGTAGGCAAAGTAGTCATTTACCTAGGGTGGAAAAATGTAGGGATGGTGAGGAAATAAGATATACTACATGGTACAATGTGTACATTTAGTATTAACTCACACAACATGGGGTCAGTCAATTTGACCAACCTTGTAACCACTTTGTTCTTGTTAGTTTCCACACTATAACTTTTAATACAGTATGTGTTTCTTCACAAAAATTGGCAGACATTTAGTAAACATTACATGTTATTTGTACACAAAAAATTAATTTTTTTTAAGGAAGTATTTTTACTAAAGATTTTGTGAATATATCAAATCTTATTTTCACTAGTCTGACTGCAAAGTGAATTTTAAATTAAGATTAAAAATACTTTTATTTGTCTCAAAAATCTCAAATTTCATTTGTGTAACCTCCAAAATCTCTTAAATAAATATAAAACTTTATATTTTATCTGTTATCACCTTTACCCTAACACTATATTTGATTCTTGAGCCAGTAGACAAATAATCAAGGTATAATGAAAAGAAAAATTGTAAAATCAGAAATAAAATGAAGTTGACCATATAGGCATACAAAGATATTATTTGAATGCATGGTTATACAATCTTATTTCCCTTTCAGCAAACTTATTCATCAACCAATAAATACTATTTATTCACAACTGCTTAAATTTTAGTTATTTTTATTAAAACATAGAAGAATAAATAAAAAATACTTCAAAAAACTAAGATTTTGAGTACTTACAGTAGTATGAGATGTTGTGCTCATGTGTCATACATGCTAAGCCTCATTTATTCTTCCAAGTGGAAAGTAAAGAGATATTAATTTTTGTAGGCTTCAAATATAAATCTTAGAAAACAAAATAATTATCAAATTAAAATATTAGTGCACAAAAAACCCCTGTAATTTATTTGAGTTTCTAAACAAGCTATAACTTTAAAAAATCTCATATCTGTTCAGAGCAACAACTTAGTCATTGCATTTCAATAGTTTTGATGAAATTATGATATTCTCCTTTAAGCTATTTAGAAATGACTGTCAGATTTACATACATAGGAAACTGTTCTTTCTCAGAAGAAGTAGGTGGGATTATACAAGAAGTTTCAAAAGAATGGAGTAGTGGGAGGAGTCACTCTGCTAGATTGGCTAAATATATTCACGTCTGAGCAAGTCAAAGAAATTGGAAGTTCTTATTCTATATTCTAGCTTGCCTATATTTCAAATTCGAGTTTCTAATTTGTTAACTGTCAGGTTTTATTGTATGTATCGATGGGCCAGGATTCTTTACAGTAGGTGTCTGTGACTTGTTGACAAACAATTTGAACAATAAACAGACAGCAAATAATCCATGTTTTAAAATAATATATTCAAAGCAAGTCAAACATATGTGCAAAAATTCGTTACACTATGGGTTATCACAGTTGCGTCCAGAACTTTAAATAATTGTCTTTTTCATCAAAGTCTACACAGGTGGGTTCAATTAATTTAAAACACCCTTTAACAAGACAAATTATTCTACTCTACTCTGTTGTCACAATATAATTAGTGATAAGTTCACTTACTTTACCTTGTGGGTTACCACAGTTGTATCCAGAACTTTAAATAATTGTCTTTTTCAGCAAAGTCTACACAGGTGGGTTCAATTAATTTAAAACACCCTTTGACAAGACAAATTATTCTACTCTACTCTGTTGTCACAATATAATTAGTGATAAGTTCACTTACTTTACCTCGTGGGTTACCACATTTGTATACAGAGCTTTAAATAATTTTCTTTTACTTGCAAAATCCACATAGGCTCATTCAGTTACTTTAGAACCCAATTGGCATGATGAATTACTTTTCTCTACTCTGTTTACTACAATGCAATCTTCGATTATGACACTTTAAAAGTCGCCACTATACACTCTTTATGGCTAAACTTAAAAACACACTCTATATCTATATTTCTGACTAACTTTGTCTTAGTTTCACATTCACTAAGTTAACTTGCACCAACTTGGTCGCCTTTATATATACATTGCCCAACCAAAGTCTAGAACTTTCTACAAACTACGAGATACTGTGATGTAACAACACTCACTTAAACCAATGAGCAAAATACATAAGATTTCAGTAAGGTGACGTCAGTTCACAAATTGAACTACAGAACAAATGATTTGTAAACAGTTAAGTAAGCAAACTTGCCATAACTATTGTTTTAAAAATAACTTACTTTAATGCTTGCACAATATAAGCTAAATAATACACCACAGGCATCCTTTACTTTGCATGACATAAGGTTTTAGTGTCTTACATTCAAAATTTTATTAAATTACTTTTGTTTATGTTATACCAATTGGAAAAGAATAAAATCTTAGCAAATAATCCATATTTTAATAGTCTATAAATTTTAAGTTCTTAATTCTACAAGGCAATATTTAAAAAATCTTGAATTTCCTCTACGTGACACATTTTCTATTAGCATGTCAGCTTCCCTATTTTATCCACCATTCCTTGAAAAAGTATGAAATTAAACGTAAATTACTCTCTATAAAATCGTCATTGCTTATACAAACCATAATTTTTATAGTCTTCAATTTTGTCTGGTTACAGATCTATCAATTAGAAAATCAGACCCCTCCTGCCACACCTACCTGTCACATCCTCTCTTTCAGAAATCGCTCTTACATTTAATTATACATTACCTATAACCAATAGAAAGTCAGGGTTTTCATCTATAAAATTACGTATTGTATAACGTTATGTTCTGAACAGTTAAATGACAATTTCACTCAGAGTAACAACGTTGTTCCCATAAGAAAGTTAATGACTAGCTTGGATGAATTTGTAATGGTTCTTGTCACATAGTTAGAAAGCCAGAAAAATTTTGAGAGGTAAGGGAATTTGTCTACTTTTTGCATGTTATTAGTCTATATTATTAAGTGCATTACTACCATTAGTATAAGAAAATTAGGGTTAACTCTCTTAACAATCGACATGAAGAAAAAACAAGAATGGTTTTGTATTTTATTTCTTGTTTTTCATGTTTATTCTTTATGTATAATTATAAAAGTAACTAAAATGTAAAAATAGGGATCCTTTTAGGTTAGTTGAGATTATATTAGGTAAAATAAATAATAATAATACTATAATAAAAATGTTTCACAAGGCACACACACGAGCAGCTTGTGGGTAATATAATTCGTTAGCATAACATGAGCTACACATTCCGCAAGTGATTTACAACTTATAATGGCGTGAATAGTAGTTAGACACTTTCAAAGAGCAATAAAACAATAAAATTTAATTATAAATAGATGTATACTGTTAAGAACGTAGAGCTACTTAGGATAAACTAATGTTGTTTCATGTTACAACTTGAAATCATTCTAGAAAGAAGAAAAAGGTAATTTAGATTTATTTCAATTTTTTTTGGTGGTTACGAGGTTGGTCAAATTGACTGATCCCATTTTCAGATAGGGTAGAGAAAATAAGAGATAAACTATAAAGTTTTACTCAAAAAAAGTTTGAAATGCATTTAGGAGGTTTTAGGGATTACACAAAGGAAATTTGAGATTTTTGACAGGAAAATTAATTTGCACATGGAATCTTTAAAACAAATACTCAATATATTCATGGACAAATCTTTATTTTATTTTATTAAAAATACTTCACTAAAAGATGATTTTTTGTATATGAAAGACTTATAATATTAACTGAAACACTGCCAAATTGTGTGAAGATATACACAATATACTGAAAGTTAGAAGTATTAAATTTATAAAGACTTTAAATGAGTACAAAGAGGTCTCATGGTTAGTCAAATTGACCGAGCCCATGTTGAAAGAGTTAAACTTAAAATTAACAGTAGTGTATATCTAACAATAAGCCCCTCTTCAAGAACAATATTTATAATATTTTTTTTACACTATATACAAAGACTGATTTCAGTTCATACACAAAGTCTACTCATACAGTCTGCACCAACATTTGCAGTCCCCTTGATGGCTTCAATGTAGAACCTGTATTTCTAGAGGTACAAGGCTCACCTCGTGATCCTCACATTGTCGATTTTGCACCTCTGGATTTATACAAGTAGTTGATTGGCCATTTTGATGATGAACTCTTTCCCATATAGGTAGTTCTGGAGCTTCCAGATGGCAAGTATGATGGCTAGATACTCTTGTTTGATCACAGAGTAGTTCTTATCACTACTCAACAGTGTTTTACTTGCATATATTACCAGAAACAATCTTTCTTCATGTTCTTGTAGGAGCACTGCTCCAATTCCAATGTCTGAAGCATCAGCTTGAATTATGAACATTTTGTTGAAGTCTGGCATTCTAACGATTGGCAAACTTTCCAACATGTTCTTTAACTTTTGGATTGCCATCTGCTGTGATTTTTCCCACTTCACATTGTTGGGTAGGCCTTTCTTGGTCAGGTCAGTCAATAGTGCAGCAACTTCAGTGCAGTTTGGGATAAACTTCCTGTAGTATCCCACTAACCCAACGAAGGATCTATATAACCTGCTTAATCATCAGTTCTGGTGCATCTTGTATGTGAGTTAGCTTCTTCTCTACCATGGCTATCTGTCAGTTGCCCACCT